GAGGCACATGATTAGATAATAACCAGTCATGAAAATCTATCAGTCTCAAGACCAAAAGAGAAAACAAGGCAACAATAAAGATACTAGACTACTAACTTAATATTTACAAGTTTTTTCCTCTTATTCTTTTCAATGTTCCTTTAACACTAATACCAGTTATACTTGATATTCATTAATAACATTCCCACACAGAATAAGTTCTTCGAATTTATAAATAATGTCTTTTATAGTTCAGCTAGAGCTAGTAGTATGATTTGCAGTCTCACTAGGTTTAATAAATATTACATAAATAATAACTTTGTTCTGATCTCTTCATTGAATTTACAGTTTTAATATGAAAAAAACTAAAGCAAAATCTTTTCTAAATTCAGTTCCTCTATCTGGAACTGTAAGATATGTATGGCAGTGACTTTTCTCTATATAGTATCATAAAGAATAGATTTGCAACTAATTGACACAAATAATTATGACATTTTCAAGACATGCAGAGCACAAATTTCATTTAATTGCTTTTACACCACACCAGAAGGCATTACAGGGACATGAGTGAATAGAAGCAAGTTGGAACTTCAACAGAGAGCTGCTTTCTTAACATCAGCAACAAAGGCTTTTATCTTAGCTTCAAATTTGTTCCACATGGTAAAGAAGCGTTCTGAAAATAAACCAAGTTGTTATATTTTTCATTTAATTGAACTTCTAATATACACACAAGCATTTCTAAAACTTTCAGCTTTGTGCATCTCTCATCATTAGAGTAAATTCTACACTAATTGCATGGCATTTTTCAAAATATTATCTAGCGAGTTTGGTTTTCAAAATCAATGATCTTTCTCTCAATGCTTAAAAAATTCATTTTAGCTGAACCTTGACAAAAAAAATCCCTCCTTTAGTAAACTTTGGTTGGGTTCCTCTAAGACCTCTTTTCAAGTAGGCCTCATACTTGGCCCTGTCCTTGGCCTGCCCTCATCAAGAAGGCTGTTAGGGTAATTTAGTAGGAATCCCCCACCCCTGATGCCTCCTCTTAGTAATGTTACATCCACTGATCCACTCACTTACTCTGCTCATTGGCTATAAATCCCCAGCTGTTTTTGCTATGTTTAGAGTTGAATTCAGTCTTTGTCCCCTACTGCAGTAGTGTCAAATAAAGTCTTAATTACCATTTTAAACAAATATCAGAATAATTTTTTTAAAATAACATTGTAAAGCTGGCTATTATGGACTATGGCCTTTTGGTGGGATATATACTAGAGATTAAAATCCTGGACTTTAGAGTCCAATTTTATGGGTTCCCATCCTTTATCTGCTGCTAATGTGCTCTATGACCTTGAGCAATTTAAATGAACTTGTGTCCTTGACTCTCAGATGATGAACACATGCTCTGAACAGACAGACTTAACCATGAGACTATATGTACACATGAGAGCCTGTCCACACATAGTTTCTACCACTCTGACCCATGCCCAAACTGAAAGGCTTGGGAATTCTAAGATAGGAATTATGCTTGTATTTTGGGGAACTGAGAAAGTTGACCATGGGCACCCAGCCTGTAGCTTGCCATCTGCAACTCAGGCACCACATTGGCTGTCTGGAAGGTGATAGGAGGGTAGAAAAGGTATGGGAGAGAGAACAATCACAATGCTTTTTCTCTTCCCAATCTGTATGTTCAGAGATAGCAGTCTATGTCTCCGTGAAACTCTTGAATTGTGGGTTCCTGCCATTCGATTAAAGCAATGATAGACTTCAAAATGTCAAGCAGCTGCACGGACCAGGATTTCATTCAATGAGAAGCTATCAATACCCTGGATTCTAGTGACCAATACCCCTATTCCCTGGCCCAGTGATTCAGCCATTTCTGTTGAAAATTCATATCCTATAAGTTACAGTTACTGCCTACACCTTGTTTAAAAATTCCATTTTAGTTGCCACTGCAGTGCTTACTGACCTAGAGAGGAGCATAACAAACTGAGAATTGTTTTCTAAATCAGAAAACAATTGCATGATGCCCCTGCCTCAGGAACCTAACTGTGTAATCTGGTATCTAGGAAACTCTACTCTCTCTCCGCACCTGAAATCATGGCCCTGTGCAAGAAGTTAGCCACCAATATACAGAGGGGGAAAATATGTTCCTTGAACCACGCCCCTCCCCCCAAGTAATCTCACGTTCTTGAAAAGAAAAATAAGGATTTTTACCTCTCATCAAATACTAAAATATCAAGTGGTTACATTTAGATTACCATCTGCTCCTGTTGCTCTCTAATCTCCTGGACCAGCTCTATGAGACATTTTGGAACTGAATGTTTAAGATACCAATATATGATTTCAATTAAGGATTGTGACAAGTAGAAAACAGAATGCTAGAGGTACTCTCGCCAACTGAATAAGCCTCAACAGCATGAATGATCACATAATTTTTTTTTTTTCTTGCGATACGCGGGCCTCCCACTGTTGTGGCCTCTCCCGCCGCGGAGCACAGGCTCCGGACGTGCAGGCCCAGCAGCCGCGGCTCACGGGCCCAGCCGCTCTGCGGCACGTGGGACCCTCCCGGACCGGGGCACGAACACGCGTCCCCCGCATCGGCAGGCGGACTCCCAACCACCGCGCCACCAGGGAAGCCCCCACATAATTTTTATGAACAAAAAATTATTCTACTACCTTCTGGACAGAGCTTGTTTATAAAGATGATATTCTAATTTACATAACAAAGCAGACCTCACATTAAACTTTGGATTAGGTAGTCCAGATCTCTCTTTAGCAGTACCATTTTTAGAACAACCATAGTAAAAAATGTACTCAGAAGTCTAGAGAAATACTGTGCCATTTTCAGTTTACTTAAAGCATTAATATGATCTCTAAAAGTTTTTAGGTTTTGAGTGAATCACAATAAAACCAAAGGAATTATTGAATTTCTAGTGATCATTAGATATTCATTCTTATAACTGTGCCCTGACTACTAATTATCTGACTTCCTCAAGAATGGATGAGACTTGCCTTATCTTTGAAGGCAACCAAAGCCTTCCAAAGGCTGTAGCCTACTCACTTTTGCCCACTAATCCTGGCTGAATTTGAGCTATTCAGAGTCCGTGGTTGAAACTGACATCGTCTGCTCAATATTAAGGGCCATCCTGCTATCCTAAGAAGCATTACATCTTATCCAACAGCTCTGCTGAAATACTACTCCTGCTCCTACTTCTCCTGGGAGATATATTTAGTTGTACTGGTCATTAATCAGTAAAAAGGTTTCCTATATGTCCTTCTGGATAGCTCACTGCCTTCCCAGGTCCTGACTGGTTGCTGGATCACTGATAATTCTTGAGTTGTGCTGTCCAGTATAGGAGCCACAAACCATATATTGCTATTTAGATTTAAACTAATTAAAATATACTAACCACATTTTAAGAGCTCAATAGCTGCATATGGCTCATAGCTCCCATATTGGAGGGCAGAGATATAGAACATTTCCATTACCACAGGAAATTCTGTTGGAGAGTGCTTGGAGAGGAAGTCATAATTGCCATGAACGAGGTGGTCTGGGAGAAGAAACATTTAAGTGAACCCAATATAGACTGAATTTATTTATTGGGCCCCACTAGGCCAGTAGTTACAAGACCTGGATTAAAAAAAAAATCAGCCACAACCATTTGTATATGGGCTGAGGTATCAGTTGATTTCCCTTATATCATCAAATAATAAGCATCATGGTGCTCAACTCTGGCTGCACGGTTTAATCACCTAAGGAGAATCTGGTTTAATTGGTCTGGGGCTGGGGCAGAGAACTGGTAGCTTTTAAAGCACCCCAGGTGAATCCTATTTTGTAGATAGGCTTGAAAAGCACTGATTTAGCACATATATTAGCTCATTTAATCAAATGATCACATAATTAATGTATAAATTATATTCACTGTTATCTAGATAGTCCACAGAAGCAAACTGAGAAGTTGGATTGGGTCCAGCAATCACCATTCATAGGATCAGACTGCCATGCTGAATTTACGTTGGAAAAATAATTCTAGAGAGAAGTATAAAATTTGCATTGCTCACAATCCAATTACTGGCAACTTGCAACAATTCTCCTATTCATTTCTGCATATATTCTCTCTAAAACCCTCACAAAAGTTATTAATACACATTATTTTTATATTACCTCTGGGACCTTTCACAGTTTCAGAAAATCAGTAATTAGTGAAGAATTCCTCCATTTATTTTCTCTTGACTGATACTTTATGCTCACTCAATTGATGATTTCTTCTTGCCATGTAAGTTGTACTTTGTTTTTACTACTGTATAAAATATAAATAATATTTTATAATGGGAGATTATAGAGGATAGCCACTATTTCATCAACTTTATTCCACTCTATATTGTTTCTGTAGAAATCCAAATTTCCTTATATTGATACAAAAGATAACTCCAAAATACTTAGGTTAATATTATTACTAACTGCTCTAATTCTTGCTGACAAAATATAGTAACATTCAAGGTACAAAAGGATTTTCTATAAGTTTAAATACCTATGTCAGTAATAATCCAGACTGGATTATAGACAGTTTCATCCAATAATATTTATGCTTCCCAGGGCACAGTAAAAATGTGGTTAAAAATAATATCTTAACTATTATTAAAATTGCTAATAACACTGACTGTTACATATATGTGTACAATATTATACATAATAAACATATGTATACATTATACATTATTATAATAATAAGATTGTTAACAATATTATTAACATTGGTTGGCAAGATTCACGTCTTTAAAATTCTTATCACTTGTATTTTGTCTCATTACAAATTCCACAGAATATGCTCCAACACATATCAATTAGGTTATTGTCATGTGACATTTATGTTTATTTCCTTTCCTTTTTGAAATTGGTTGTGCAGTGTTTAAACATTGCTATTTTGAATCAGGTGAATATTTTTATCAGTTGTAATTTATTCAATAAAAGACAACTGTAACTTTTTCAAACTTAGGAAAAAGAAAAAGCCATTCAAACTCACCGTCCATGATCTGGGTCTACCCTGTTTATTGAGGATCTTTCTCATTATTGTTCAATAAGCAGCGTCTACTCAAGGCAGTGTTATTTCCACTCTTGCAATTTCATTGCTGTCTTGACGAATTTGCTCATGTTATTTATTTTGCCCAGCATTAATTTATTCTCAAAAGTATGGGTGGGGTAGAGATTTTCGGGTAGCAGTATATGGCACTTTAAAGGAAAATTATTGTGTGATTAAAAAAATAGTTCTATTAAATTTAATTATAGTTGATATAATTTTTATTATATGTGACAGCATGAAAAACAGAATATTATATACAAATATTAACAATGGAAATGGAAAAGAGTACATAAATCTAACTACCTATGTTTCTATAGAAATGTTTCTCCAATTTTAGCCTGCATCAGAATACCCAGAGAACCTGTTAAACAAATTAGTGGCCTTGAACCCCACAGCTTCTATTTCAGCAGGTCTGGGGTGGGGTCCAAGAATTTGTATTTCTAGTAAGTTCCTAGTTAATGCCCAGGCTGCCAGTCCAGGGACCACACTTTGAGAAGCATTGATAGAGGACTTCAAAAAGTTCAAGTTCACTAGAATACTGCTTTTTGGAATACATAAAATGTATATGCTTAATATATCTATGCTTTTCAAAAAATCAGTCAGTTTCAAATAAGTCAATTTCTGAGCTGCAAAAGAAAGGAATCAAAAGAAATCAGTTTCAGGGAAGAAACAGTGGCAATTCCTTTTAGGTGGAAGACTCATATCTCTGAACTGATGGCATCAAGATTGGATTATAAACTATCTACTGACCTCAATGATGTATGTTGCAACATTGTTATAGAAAGAAAACTGGAAACAACCAAAGTGCCCATTTAACAGAGGCCTAGTTAAGTAATATACTTTTATTGCCAATAATAACATACTTGTGGTATGCTCAGATATAAAGGACTTAAAAAGAATTTGGTTGATTTGGATATGCTGATGTGGAAATATTTTCAAGATATATTATTATGCTTTAAAAAGTAAAGGAACAAAAAAGATGGATAATTTCTTTGAATAAATAATGATAGAGGTGATGTCAGCAAGATAGAGGGCTAGGAGGTCCCAATGCTTGTCTCCTTCACAAACAAGCAAAATAATAAACGAACAACTGCAAACCAATGAAAATAGCTCTAGGAGAGCTCTGTACCACAAAGAAAAAGCAGCAGAAATCAGGAGGAGCTCAAAATCAAGGATGGCTGCATAAAAAATGCAGGAAGCATTTTACCTGAGTCACCTCATCTTCTAGCCCAGGCCAGTTAGGAGGGATCCCCTCAGAGGAATTTCACCCCATGAGGAAAAGGGGAGGAGAACCCCAGCAAGCCTCACTGCCATGGGGAACTCCCACATATGCACCAGTGCTAATCCCAAGCTGATGGAGCTGCCTGGAGTTCCCCCGCTACCACACCCCTCCCCCATTACTCCCCAGGGTTAGAGCTGTCATGGTAGTAAGACCTGTCACCAGGACCCAGTTGCTGCTGTGCCCCATTCTCTGAGATTGGGAAGCCATAGCGCCTTACTGCCTATGGAACCAAATGAGCTGCCACTGCTCTGAGCCTCACCCCAGGTCCTAGGTTGTGGCTTTGACTTACCATTGCCAGGCCAAGCTGCTGCTGCTCTGTACTCCACACTCTGTAGCCATTATCTGGACCCACCTGGCTTTAATGGGTTATCAGCTGGATGCACTGCTGCTGCTCTATGACTGCCTCCCTGGGCCAGAGTTGGGGCTTTGACACACCATCCCCATGCCATGCTGCTACTGCACCCTGCTCCCTGGGCCCAAGTCACTACTGCACCCTGTCATCCCAGGGCCCATGCTGTAGCTGAGTCCCCCTCTCTCCCCAAGTCACTGCAGCAAACTGCAGAGACCTAGACCTAGATTCCACAGGAGATGTGCACATGCCCACACCTCAGACTCTAGCGCCAGACAAGAACACTATAAGAAAAGAAAATTATAGGCCAATCCCTGATGACCATACATGCAAAAATTCTTAACAAAATACTAGCAAATAGAATTCAAGAGAACACTTAAAGGATCATAAGCCACAATCAAGTGGGATTCATCCCTGGGATGCAAGGATGATTCAATATAGCAAATCAATAAATGTGATATGCCCCATTAACAAAATTAAGGATAAAAATAGTATAATGAATTCAATAGATGAAGAAAAAATTTAACAAGTTTCAACACCCATTCATGATAAGAGGTTTCAACAAGTTAGGTATAGAAGGAATATACCTAACAAAGGCCATATATGACAAGTTCACAGCTAACATACTCAATGGTGATAAGTTAAAACCTTTTTCATCCAACATCAGGAACAAGACAAGGATGCCAATTCTCACCATTTCTACTCAAAATAGTACTGGAAGTTCTAGCCATAGCAGTTAGAGAAAAAATAGAAATAAAACACATTCACATCAGAAAGGAAGAAGTAAAATGTAGTTGTTTTCAGATGACATGATTTTATATATAGAAAATCCAAAAGACTCCACAAAAAAAGTTAGAACTAACAAATGAATTCAATAAAGTTGCAGGATACAAAATCAACATACAGAAATCAGTTGAATTTCTATATACTAACAGTGAAACATCTGAAAGAGAAAATAAGAAAAAAAATCCATTTTACAACAGCATGAAAAAAATACTTACGAATAAATTTAAGCAAAAACACTTTACCTTGAAAATTATAAGACAATGAGGAAAAGAATTAAAGAAGACACAAATAAATGGAAAGATATCCTGCGTTCTTGAATTGGAAGAATTAATATTGTGAAAATGTCCACACAAAGCCATGAAAAGATGCTCAGCCTCACTAATTATTAGAGAAATGCAAATCAAAAACACAAATTACCTCACACCTGTCAGAATGGCTATCATCAAAAAAGTCTACAAATAACAAATGTTGGCAAGGATGTGGAGAAAAAGGAACCATTGTACACTGTTGGTGGGAATGTAAATTGGTGCAGCCACTATGGAAAACAGTATGGAGGTTCCGGAAAAAAACTGAAAATGGAACTACCCTATGATCCAGCAATTCCTCTTCTGGGTATATATTCCGAAAAAAGTAAAAACACTAATTGGAAAAGATACATGTGCCCCAATATTCATAGCAGCACGATTTACAATAGCCAAGACACAGAAGCAACCCATGTACCCATCAACAGATGAATGGATTAAGTAGACGTGGTGGGTATATATACAGTGGAATATTAGTCATAAAAAGAATACTACCGTCTCACTCCCTCTTGCGAGAACACCAGAATCACAACTAGTTGCTGGACAATCATTGACAGGAAGACACTGGAACTCACCAAAAAAGATACCCCACATCCAAAGACAAAGGAGAAGCCACAATGAGATGGTAGGAGGGGCCCAATCACAGTAAAATCAAATCCCATAACTGCTGGGTGGGTGACTCACAGACTGGAGAACATTTATACCACAGAAGTCCACCCACTGGAGTGAAGGTTCTGAGCCCCACGTCAGGCTTCCCAACCTGGGAGTCCAGAAACAGGAAGACGAATTCCTAGAGAATCAGACTTTGAAGCCTAGTGGGAATTGACTGCAGGACTTCGACAGGACTGGGGGAAACAGAGACTCCACTCTTGGAGGGCACACACAAAGCAGTGTGCACATCGGGACCCAGGGGAAGAAGCAGTGACCCCAGGGGAGACTGAACCTGACCTACCTATTAGTGTTGGAGGGTATCCTGCAGAGGCGGGGGCAGGGGGACTGTGGCTCACCGTGGGGAGAAGGACACTGGCAGCAGAAGTTCGGGGAAGTAGTCCTTGGCGTGAGCCCTCCCAGAGTCTGTCATTAGCCCCACCAAAGAGCCAAGGTAGGCTCGTGTTGGGTTGCCTCAGGCCAAACAACCAACAGGGAGGGAACCCAGCCCCACCCATCAACAGTCAAGTGACTGAGCTCTTTGAGCAACAGTCAGCTCTACCCACCACCAGTCCCTTCCATCAAGCCTCTTAGATAGACTCATCCACCAGAGGGCAGAGACCAGAAGCAAGAAGAACAACAATCCTGCAGCCTGTGGAAGAAAAACCACATTCACAGAAAGATAGACAAGATGAAAAGGCAGAGGGCTATGTACCAGATAAAGGAACAAGATGAAACCCGAGAAAAACAACTAAATGAAGTGGAGATAGGCAACCTTCCAGAAAAAGAATTCAGAATAACGATACTGAAGATGATCCAGGACCTTGGAAAAACAATGGAGGCAAAGATCGAAAAGATAAAGAAATGTTTAACAAAGACCTCGAAGAATTAAAGAACAAATAGAGATGAACAATACAATAACTGAAATGAAAACTACACTAGAAGGAATCAATAGCAGAATATCTGAGGCAGAAGAACTGATAAGTGACCAGGAAGACAGAATGGTGGAATTCACTGCTATGGAAAAGAATAAAGAAAAAAGAATGAAAAGAAAGGAAGACAGCCTAAGAGACCTCTGGGACAACATTAAACGCAACAACATTCACATTATAGGGGTCCCAGAAGGAGAAGAGAGAGAGAAAGGACCAGAGAAAATATTTGAAGAGATTATAGTTGAAAACTTCCCTAACATGGGAAAGGAAATAGCCACCCAAGTCCAGGAAGTGCAGCGAGTCCCATACAGGATAAACCCAAGGAGAAACAGGTCAAGACACATAGCAATCAAATTGGCAAAAATTAAAGACAAAGAAAAATTATTGAAAGCAGCAAGAGAAAAACGACACATAACATACAAGGGAACCCCCATAAGGTTAACACTGATTTCTCAGCAGAAACTCTACAAGCCAGAAGGGAGTGGCATGATATACTTAACGTGATGAAAGGGAAGAACCTACAACCAAGATTACTCTACCCGGCAAGGATCTCATTCAGATTTGATGGAGAAATCGAAATCTTTACAGACAAGCAAAGGCTAAGAGAATTCAGCACCACCAAACCAGCTCTACAACAAATACTAAATGAACTTCTCTAAGTGGGAAGCACAAGAGAAGAAAAGGATCTACAAAAGCAAACCCAAAACAATTAAGAAAATGGTCATAGGAACATACATATCGATAATTACCTTAAATGTGAATGGATTAAATGCTCCAACCAAAAGACACAGGCTTGCTGAATGGATACAAAAACAAGATCCATACATAATGCTGTCTTCAAGAGACCCCCTTCAGACCTAGGGACACATACAGACTGAAAGTGAGGGGATGGAGAAAGATATTCCATGCAAATAGAAATCAAAAGAAACCTAGAGTAGCTATACTCATACCAGATAAAATAGACGTTAAAATAAAGAATGTTACAAAAGACAAGGAAGGACACTATATAATGATCAAGGGATCAATCCAAGAAGAAGATATAACGATTATAAATACATATGCACCCAACATAGGAGAACCTCATTACATAAGGCAACTGCTAACAGCTGTAAAAGAGGAAATCAACAGTAACACAATAATAGTGGGGGACTTTAACACCTCACTTACACCAATGGACAGATCATCCAAAATGAAAATAAATAAGGAAACAGAAGCTTTAAATGACACAACAGACCAGATAGATTTAATTGATATTTATAGGACATTCCATCCCCAAACAGCAGATTACACTTTCTTCTCAAGTGTGCACAGCACATTCTCCAGGACAGATCACATCGTGGGTCACAAATCAAGCCTCAGTAAATTTAAGAAAATTGAAATCATATCAAGCATCTTTTCTGACCACAACGCTATGAGATTAGAAATGAATTACAGGGAAAAAAACATAAAAAACACAAACACATGGAGGCTAAACAATACGTTACTAAATGACCAAGACATCACTGAAGAAATCAAAGAGGAAATCAAAAAATACCTAGAGACAAATGACAATGAAAACACGATGAGCCAAAACCTATGGGATGCAGCAAAAGCAGTTCTAAGAGGGAAGTTTATAGGTATACAAGCCTACCTCAAGAAACAAGAAAAATCGCAAGTAAACAATCTAACCTTACACCTGAAGGAACTAGAGATAGAAGAGCAAACAAAATCCAAAGGTAGCAGAAGGAAAGAAATCATAAAGATCAGAGCAGAAATAAATGAAATAGAAACAAAGAAAACAATAGCAAAGATCAATAAAACTAAAAGATGGTTCTTTGAGAAGATAAAGTTGATAAACCACTAGCCAGACTCATCAAGAAAAAGAGGGAGAGGACTCAAATCAATAAAATTAGAAATGAAAAAAGAGAAGTTACAACAGACACCGCAGAAATACAAAGCATCCTAAGAGACTACTACAAGCAACTCTATGCCAAAAAAATGGACAACCTGGAAGAAATGGACAAATTCTTAGAAAGGTATAACCTTCCAAGACTGAACCAGGAAGAAACAGAAAATATCAACAGACCAATCACGAGTAATGAAATTGAAACTATGATTAAAAATCTTCCAACAAAGAAAAGTCCAGGACCAGATGGCTTCACAGGTGAATTCTATCAAACATTTAGAGAAGAGCTAACACTCATCCTTCTCAAACTCTTCCAAAAAATTGCAGAGGAAGGAACACTCCCAAACTCATTCTATGAGGCCACCATCACCCTGATATGAAAACCAGACAAAAATACTACAAAAAAGGAAAATTACAGACCATTATCACTTATGAATATAGATACAAAAATCCTCAACAAAATACTAGCAAACAGAATCCAACAACATATTAAAAGGGTCATATACCATGATCAAGTCAGATTTATCCCAGGGATGCAAGGATTCCTCAATATATGCAAATCAATCAATGTGATACACCATATTAACAAGTTGAAGAATAAAAACCATATGATCATCTCAATAGATGCAGAAATAGCTTCTGACAAAATTCAACACCCATTTATGATAAAAACTCTCCAGAAAGTGGGCATAGAGGGAACCTACCTCAACATAATAAAGGCCATATATGACAAACCCACAGCAAACATCATTCTCAATGGTGAAAAACTGAAAGCATTTCAACTAAGATCAGGAATGAGACAAGGATGTCCACTCTCACCACTATTATTCAACATAGTTTTGGACGTCCTAGCTATGGCAATCAGAGAAGAAAAAAGAAATAAAAAGAATACAAAATGGAAAAGAAGAAGTAAAACTGTCACTGTTTGCAGATGACATGATACTATACATAGAGAATCCTAAAAATGCCACCAGAAAACTACTAGAGCTAATC